TTCAATTAATAACCACCCGGTTATTTATTGGAATTTTCTCAATCAATGGCTGCTATTTATATATTGATTTACCCGGGTCAGAAGGAAGAGGCTTGTATTTTATTTTTACTCGTAAAACCTTGGCAGAAAGGGATGCGAAGATTGGCCGGCTATATGAATCACATGATTGATGGTTAAATTTTGATTGATTTAGACCTACGTCGGGTTGGCTAGACAGGATAATATGATGGCTCATTTGCTCAGTAAAGCTCAGGTTTGATTTCAAGTTATACTAGATGATTGTTAATTTAACATGATTTAATTGACTAAACTAGTTAATTTGTAACTCAATTAAAATTTAATTCGACTATAATTTAAGAAAAATTCAAAATAAATTTTTTAATTTTAATAAAAATCTTGAAATAAAGGTATTTTATATTGATTTAGATTAATTTAAATTAACTTGTTTAACCTATAACTCAAATTTTAAATAGAATTATAGGCTAAGTCAAACTTAATAACATAAATTTAAAGAAAAGAATGGTAAAAAATATATGGAAATTAAGAGGTGTATGTATAAAAATATTATCTTAAATAGTGGGATAAATAATTGATTAAAGATGTTTATTTTCTTTCTCTTGTTTTCATTATCATTATGAATTCAAATTTTAAGATAATATTTAAAATAATTTATTCTAAAAATATACAATGATGCTTAGAAAGTAATTAATAATATCCTATTGATTACTTTCTAATTCACTATAAAAAAAAATAGATATAATTAAGAGAGAGAAATTCTAGGTAGAAATATTATTACCACTTTTAGTAGGTGATAGGTTTTATCTTTTTATTTATTTATTTATTTAGATAAATACAAAAGTGCTCCTCATCTAACTTTTAATTATAAAAAAAAAAAACTATTATGAAAAACCTAAAATCCTGACCTCAAGCTTAAATTTTTTTTATTTTAAGTATATTTTTGAATTTTTTATTATTTTTATATTTAATCAAATACCAAATTGCACTTCAACTTAAATTGTAATAATAAAAAAATAATTATGAAATACAAAAATACAGGTTTGAATTTTTTCTCAAGAATATCCTAGTTGTTTCACCATGTAATAAAAATCAAAACAAAAATATTTATTCCTTATCAATTTAAAAATAATAAATAAATTATGTGAAAAGACAGTTAAAGCAAAGATTTCTAGATTAAGGGTTAAAAACACCTTTACAATGTTCCACTAAACAGTAACAATAAGATGGAGCTACAGTATTGTCCAATGCCAGTTAAGTTTTGTTAATTTTCTTGATGGATGAATTTCACCTCCCTTGGTAAAGCTAATAGATTTCCCATAATAATAATAATAATAATAATAATAACAATAATAACAATAAGAACAACATTTAGAGATGGAAGGATGATGGAACTTGGTGCCAACTTGACCAACAATCTTGGATTTGCCGTAGCTTTTGTCTGCCTACCGCATCTCAACCATACACACACCAACATATAATTTAAGTTTATTGAAGTGATACGGATTTGAATAGATCATGGATTGAAATTTCCAAGATCAATTCAAAGTATGACAACGTCTATATATTATTGTGGTCTCTTTTCCCCCTCAATTTCCCATAAAGATACATCTTGGAAGACATTTTCAATCTATTACCTCCTTGGTTTACTGCTCATCCTCCCGTACCTTTCACAAAGTAATAGCTCGATGCATGGTTGCATCACAAAATCAAATCTACAACCCTAACTTGGAAAAACAAATCAAGGTTAACGTAGAAGGGAAGCAAGAGAAGAAAATTACTTTCAAAATGTGGCCCTTATCATGACTGGAATCATCTTGAAAACTGTCTGTGCCCCTGTGTTTGTTGTTTTGGGCTTGTCGAGCAGCTCAATATCGTAAGCTATTGAATTTCAATCCTAAAAGTCTCCTTTTATGAATTGTTCCACAATTTCAATCCTAAAGTGGTCAATGTTAGTTGTTGGCATTAGGGATCAATTTGACTACTTCAAAAAGTTATGGGACTATATAAGACACCTAAAAATATGGGGCCTTGGTCAGGTCTAATCTCCCAAAAAGAGATTTCGAATCCGAGTAATGGCATGTTTTGTTAATTCTAATAGTGGATTAGTGGGCAATCGTCTCTGTTTCTTTTTTATTTTAAAACAATAGCCTAATAAAATTATGAATTGAGAACAACACAAACACCAAATTTCACTGCAAATAATGCTCTGTATTTAAGTATTCTCCTTTCAATTTTGAACATCAATAGCAACAAATTAGAAAACAAATAACAAAGAAACTAGACTGAAGTGGTCAGCACCATATCAAGACAGTGTTAATTTTATTTGCATACAAATCTTTGCAATGGCAAAAGAAAACCCGTAAGAGACAATGATGATCATCACCGGCAGCTAGCATGACTCAAAGCCCATCACTCTTGAGCTCCTCTTCAAATGCGTCTTCAAGCCAGAATCTTGATTCTTGCATCAACTCAGGACTCAATCTAAACATCAAAACACAAAATTCCATTTGATTTAAGGCCCCATCACCATCAAGATCACCTTCTTTAACCATACTAGCAAGCTCATCATCACTCAAATCTTGCAAGCCCAAGAAAGACGAATTTCTTCTCAAACTCTCCATAGTAATGACCCCTCTATCCTTATCCATCAACAGCTGAAACCCATTACACAACTCGTTTATCAACCCTTCCCCACCTAGCTTGTTTGCCATTACAGGCAACAAGTCTTCAAAATCTGCTCTTTTCTCAACTCCTGCCATTCTTGATCAAGACACTTTTGAAAACAAGTGTGAAGATTGGATTCTTATGTGATTTATGAGTGGAAAGGTATGGATCGGTGCATTTATATAGGAGAGGAAAGGAGGAAGAGGATCTTCTAGGAAGGAACTGAAGGGTTATGGTCCTACAAGGGGTGCCAGCGAAGGGACAGACAATTTGGTCGGCTTTGATACCTTACACGGGGTGCAGTACCATCTGTTTCGCAGAAGGTTGTCAAGGGTCTTTTGGTCATTTAATATAGTTGGCATCTGTGAATCTGTGCTTTTCTTGAGTTTTGACTTCATCACGAATTGGGAAAGCCGAATATATTGTCAACGAAAGGGTAGTCTTGCCATTTGATAGGAGCTTGTGAAAAAATAAAAAAATTGCACGACTGTCTCCACAAGGGTACCTTTTATTCTTATTGTCTTTTTTTTTCCCTATATATAATTTTCACCACTAAATACCTTCTCTCTTTCTAATTTTTATATACCAAAACTATTATTTTTCAATCCGAACTTTATTTACGCTAAATATTATTGAAATTATTTTTTCTATTATGATCTTCCCATTGATAGTTTGTTAAGAGTCATAAATGCTGTCCTCTCTTTCTAATAAAAAAAATATTCTTAGATGAATTTTATACATTATTTAAAATTGAATTATTTTCTCAAACAATTATAACTTAATTCATCTATAAGAATAAAAGTTTCTATAATCTTATGTAGATGCGATGGGGATTTTTTTAGATTAAAAAATGATGCGATGTCGACACAGTGTTTTTTTATTGGGGAGTACAAAATAATCCATCTCTCTTTCCATCTTTTGAAACCCAGAAAAAAAAAAAAAGACTTAAGTAGATCCATTAATGCAGGTTAGGAAGAAATAGGTAAGGGGGAGTTAGGACAGCATCAACTGTTCATAAGTACATCTGTATCTTGCCTGAACACAAATATTGATTATCATAGAAAATCAAGTGGGCTGACTCAAGTTTGATTGTTCTTGTTGAAAAAGTTTCCTAAAATTAATCACTTTTGAAGAAGTCCCGACCATTGGATTTATAAGATAAATCAGTTACTCCAACCCGGTTTTCTGAAAAGTAATCTCTAAAGATTGTTATCTTAATTTTTCATTATTTTATGGGGAAAAAAAAGGGTTTTATGCCCAGGTAAATTAGTGTATGATCTCAAGAATAATAAAGATAAATGGAATTTTTTTTTGCGCTTCAAAATATAAAATTTACTATAAATTTGGATTAAAAATAAATTTATTTTATATTGTTATATTTATTTTTTTAATTAAACATGTTTATATTTATTTCATATCTACCTTTTATATTATATGAAAATAACTGAGTAAAAATGACCCATTAAATACATTTAAAAAAAAACTAACAAATGATATTTTCTTCATTCATTTTATTTATTATAAGTAGATAAATACAACATATTTTTTTACTTAATTATGTTATAGTAAATAAAATAAATTTAATTAAAGTGAAAGAAAAAGCGAACAAATGGCCCAAATCTTAATTCCAAGTGAATTCTTGACACTCAATTAATTAAAGTATTAAACAAAGAATAGGTTACCTTCACATTTCACATAATAAAATCAATTTCAACTTGGTCATATGTGAATATGAAAATCGGCAAACATCTTCTTGACACATTCATGCATGATTTCATGGAATAAATACAAACATAAGAGATAGAGAGCAGATGCCAATTTTAATTTTCTTCCTTGAGAAGGAACCAGCCATAAAGAAGGGCCGTGTCCATAACGTGTGGGCTGCCGTCGACCATGGTGATGTCATACGCAGAATTGGAGTTGGAAACTTCAACTGTGGGAATGTTTTGGGCACGTAAAGTAGATTTGCAAGAGACCAAGGTACCCTTGTGGAAACTACGCATGGCTATGGTAGGTTACCTCCAAGAATCGTTATCGAGCTGTGAAGGTTTTCTTTGTTCCATCCCCCTCTTACGTTTTCTTCTTTTTTTCTTTCATGGTGGATGTAAGGTAGGCCTTGAGCAGTGCTCTCAATGATTCGTAAACGTTTGCTTCAGTCAAGATTTACCTTTTCAGATGGATCTGTCACAAGAAATGAATAGCGAAATGGAATGCAATGTGGCAAGTATTCAATCTAATATAGAACTATTTCCACCATCGCCAACTGCGTATAAAATTCACTGAAGTATTTGTACACATTTTTTTTACTTGCATTCAAGTGATGAGAAAATACAGACCAAAGCTCCATTTGCATTACATTTCGATATTGCGTTAACAGACAATGCTACAGGTAAATTGAAAGATCAATTTGTAAGCATCTCAAGTGAAATTAAAAAAAAATGAAAATGAAAAGTTCTATTATTAAGATCCGAATTTCAGATCCATGACCGGCATACAAACAAGGTTTCTCTTCAAAGTTCAATACTTATGCAAACCCAAACTTGTATACAAATTTATCATTTAAATAATTCAATCAGAGTTCAACGCAATATTAATAACAAAATAAACTTCATAATATAATTTGATTGTTTTAATACAAGAGTTTATATAAATTCATTGTTTTGGATTACTAACTAGACATAAAAAAAGTACAAATTACAACTAAAAGAACAAGTCCTAAAGGTTCAATAAAATAACCCGTTAACAAGTTATAAGCCTGAAAAAATAAATAATGAAAGGGTGAATACAACAATTCAGTAAGTAGATAACGTTCAATACACACACATGAGGTAATACAATAATGAGAAATATATATACAATTATGGCTCTAGATTCTTATAGGAGGGTTTATCAAAGTCAATTCATATATATATATATATATATATATATATATATATATATATATTGGTTCATATCAAAAATTTAAATTTAACAATTGATCATGTTTTATCATAATAAGGATAATAATCAACATATATATTATTAAGAAGCATGATCAAATTCATATTAACAAATCAACTATTTATAATATTTTTCATACATATAAAAAATTATTCATTCACCTTACTCGAAAGCAAACAAAACTCAAAAGCTAATACCGAAGGAAATCCTACTAACGTCCTGTCAGTAGAATATTAGAATTATTTGAATATAAATAAGACATATTCAATAATGAATTGAAAGAACATATAACCTATTTAATATATTTAACTAAGGGTCTATTCTATAACCCTATATGTTTTTAAACTAAACTAGTAATTTTTTCTAAAAATCCAAAATTAAACGGTTTTCCATAAATCTAATCTATAATAAAATAAATAATAAAATTGGTAATAATTCACTAAATAGCCCTCAATTATTCATTAAACCAATTTATAAAAGCTAATATTACAATTAGGGACCAATATGAATTGTATCATATTTTTAAGGGTCAAATTGTAACTTTGTTAAATTGGAGGACCAAACTAAAATATCATAAATTCATGACTATAGTGGAATTATGTTCGTAATTCATTCTCAGTTCTGTCCAGAATCTCTAATTATACTCTAGGGACCATTCTGGAATTTTTACAAATTTTTAGGGTCAAATTGTAATTTTTGTCAAATTAAAGGACCAAATTAAAAGTGTTAAAAATTCATAACTATACTGGAATTCTGCCCATAATCCATCTTTTATTTTGTCTAGAATCTTGGAATATGTTATAGGGACCACTCAATAATTTTTTAAAGTTTGGAGACTAAACTATAATTTTCACAAATTAAAAGACCAAACCGAAATTTTATCAACTTCAACCTCAAACCCAGAATTTCAACAGTAAACTTGTTGTTCTTTTCAAATTTCTAACTCAAAATTCACTATTTACACAAATTATATCTTAAAACCATTATCTTTACCTACAATATCTCAAAATCAACTAAACAATCTATTACCCACAACAATCAACTCTATAACATTCAAATTAATTTATCAATAAACCCAAAATATAATTTTCAAAACCCTAACATTTATCGAAACAAAAATTAAAAGCTCAAATAACACACATTTATACATTTAACAACCTAAATTTTATCTTTAAACTTATTTCCTTTAACTCTTTTTTCCTTCCTTTATCTTTCCCTCTTTTTTCTTCTTCTTCTTTCCCTTTTCTTCACTTCTCCTGGTTTTTCACTCTTAATTGCAGATCTCTCTTTCTGTTCTTTTTTTTTTTTTTTCTATTTATAGTTATCAACTTTTTATTCAACTCTTACAATACTCTTCATTCGTTTATTTCTATATCTAAGCTTTCAAGCGCTTTGAAGTCTTTTCCTATCCATTTACTTTCAAAACATCACACCTATCGAGCATCTGGCAGGGTAATTGTCAACTCATTGTTAGAGTAACTACTTAAAGTGTTGTGATCAGAAGAAGAAGAAACAACATTGCTAGGTTTCCTACGCTGAATACTAGAAAATGCAGGTTCTTCTGGTGAAGGAAGTGATGCGTTGTCATTGCTCAGCATCAGAACGACTAATGGCATTGTTGGTCTATCAACTGGAGATTCCTGAACACACAAAAGCCCTACATGGATGCACTTGAGAGCTCTTTCAGGACATTCAGAAGTGTCCCTTATCGACGGATCGATAAGGTCTAGTCCTCTATCATCATTCCACAATTCCCATGCCTGAAAACATGTTAAAGGCATTAATGTCTTCTTTTCTAGCATATGGAGAACAAAGAAGGAAAATCACTTACCCATCCTTGAAGGGTTCGAGGGAGCTCGGCACCAAAAAATTCAATATTTCTCTTGCCGGTCACAAGCTCTAATAAAAGAACTCCAAAGCTGAAGACATCTGATTTTTCTGAGAATTTTCCATACAGTGCATATTCAGGTGATATGTAGCCGCTGCAGAAGTAGTTGAACTATGAATTAGTAGCAGCAAAATATTAGCAAAAATCAGTAGAATCAGATTGATGTCAAAGGAAGTTTATGTGCAATCTGTGAACTTACTAGGTACCGACCACCCGCTTGGTATCCGCTTCGGTTTGATCTGAACCAAACATTCTTGCCATTCCGAAATCTGAAATCTTAGGATTCATTGCTTCATCCAGTAATATATTACTTGCCTTTAGGTCCCTATGGATCACTTTCAATCTAGAGTACTTGTGGATGTAGAGGAGACCTTGAGCAATGCCCTCGATGATCCGAAAACGTTTGCTCCAATCAAGATTTGCCTTTTCATATGGATCTGATAGAAGAAATCACTAAAAAGAATCAGTTCTGAATTTGTATAGCGATGCGGAACTGCAGAGAAAGAAAATGGTCATATGACATTTCATTATGATCTGGTAAATGTAATGTTTAAAGTGTTCAATCTATTGATGATGTTCAGACCAGGTTAATCTTCATATTCGAGTTGTTTCGACAGAGAAAGAAGTTTACCAAACAAAAACTTGTCCAGGCTTCGATTCCGCAGGTATTCATAGACCAGCATTTTTTCCTCCCCTTCAACGCAACAACCCAAGAGCCTCACAAGATTAGTGTGCTGAAGCTTTGCAATAAGTTTTAACTCATTCATGAACTCTTCAATCCCTTGTTCAGATTTCTTAGAAAGCCTTTTTATAGCTACTTCTTGATTCATCAAGTTCCCCTGTAGACCAGATTCAGAAAAAACCTTCACAGCTTCAGTAAAGAGATCAATAGAACAAAAAAGAAAAACAGAACTCAAGTAAATTTGAAACTTTGTATGCAGAATTTCCTTGAACTGGAAGTACTACCTTATAAACAGGGCCAAAACCTCCTTCTCCCAGTTTATTTTCTTCACAGAAGTCATTAGTGACAGCCACTATTTGGCTAAAGCTAAATATGTTCAGCTCTGTCTCACTTTTTCCGAGTTCAATGCTGGTGTTCATACCAGTACAAGTCTCTTCAATTCTCTCTGTCAGAAATCAATTAATGTTAGGCCGAAGAGTAAATCAGAACAGCTAACGAGCTTCATCTTTATATGGAGTGTGTGTGTGACGAAAACATACAGAAGGTACCTTGTTTTCCAATGCTTTTTCTCCAGATGAAATAGCCAGATAGAACACAAAGAAGCCCTATAGAAACTGCGGCTACTGCAATTATAATCGAGCGCTTGTTTTTACGTGTAAATTTAACATTAACATTTCCAACTGCATATAAAAGAAAAGGTTTCTCAGTTTGTTTAACAAAATTTAATGAACAGGACAGGTAGTCCTAATCCTTTCAGCTCAATGCAAATGTTGAGCTAAGCTACTTGAAATGAGATGATCATACCCGGGTCTCTGTCATGAAGACGAATGTGAAGATCTGATCCAACTAAGTCCTGTACAAGATCCATCAAATCCCCATACCAGTTCAGGCATTTCCCTGAAGTTCCATCACTCGCGTTTAAATATGCATAAGCTGTGCAAGAGCAGTTCCGGAGGCATCTGGATTCACAATCATTGGTACTCATATTTCCCAATATATATGAATGATCAGGTAATTTCATATTTACCAACTTTAAGAACCCATCATACTTGTCACATCTCAATGCCTTTTGCCTCACACAGGTGCCACCAGTCCAATTCCTCATATCCCACTCTTGCTGAACTTTTGGCTGGAAACCTGGCAGACATTTGCAATGATCCTGAGACCCTTTTGGATCACAGCTACTAAATGGACTGCACTGAGCATAGAATTCACAGTAAATAGAAGGCCACTGCCACATAGAAAGCCAATCATTGTTTATCTCCTGCCATAGCAACAACTCAATTCGCCCATCTGGGACTAGCGTGACCCTTAATATCGCCGAGTTTTCTGAGGCACTGTAAGTGACATAAATGTCATCATCTTTTAAGTTTAAAGTAAGGTAATAAGCAAATGGTCGCAACTTGGATATCTTCGCAAATGACACTGAATTGCTGTAGACATCGCTTCGGCTATAAGGATCATTATCCTTCCAGATTAAAAACTGTGGACCTCCAGTCATACCTATCCCGAAAGAGAACATTCCTGGTTGTGGATCTTCAGCATCTGTCCAAGAAGTAAGCTGCCTTCTCTGATTAGTTTTGCGATTATAGCCAAGTTTCATGCCAGGCAAAAATGTATCAGAGGGATGATCAAAGCTCTGCCACAAGACGGCTTCATCACTTCTCAAAACAAGGTTTCCATTATCCATCAGCATACCTGTTGTGTTATTTATAGCAGAATCAGCAACCTTTACATTTGATGACCAAACAATCTTCTTTGTTGCATCTAAAACCACAAGATTTCCATCAACCCCGAGTGCAAAAGTTCCTAGAGAATCAGTTGGGGATTCTCTATTGGCCACCCAGACAATAGTTTTCTTCTGAATTTTGTTATACCAAATGCCGAGATAGTACCTTGGAGTTGAATTTCTCATACTAAAGAAACCTAATGCAAAAGTTCCACTAGCAGAAATTATGGGTTGGTTTGCACTGATGTATTTTCCTGGAGCTATAATGCCTTGACTTGCACAGAATGGCAATAGAGAAGATGAGATTGACAAAAAGAGCAACAGAACACACAACCACATCATGTGACAGTAAGATAGTAAGTGATGCTTGCAGTGCAGAAAAACCTTCGATTACCACAACAAACTGCGCTATTAGCTGAACTTTTTGGCTGCCAAAAAGACACAAGCCTGTACCATATTTCAAACCAATGATATCTCACTATTCACCACAAACTAAAGTGTAATCTTCATAATCATTTCTTTTTTGCATTATAGTGTAGGTAGCCATCATGTCCACCATGGAAAAATCTCATTCTCCATAGCTATTTGTCGGTACGTTTTGTTGACAAGACACCTAACCAACGAAAAAACTTTTGATAACACATTTTACAGTTGTTGTACACAAGGCATTTCTATACTCTGAAAGAGGACATGATTTTTCAGTATAATTTTCAAAGTCCTCGTTAATGCTCTGTAGAATTCATTGAACCAACCAGCTCCCATGTGGTCCTCATGCATGTACCTTTTATCATTTTTAAGAAGGCTCTTTCAAGTTGCAGTCATGCTGGTAAGCTAAAAGCCTTGTTCAAAATAAAAAATATGAATACATCTGCAAGATGCATGTGCTTAATTCCTTGATTTGACCTTTTTTTTTTTTTTTGGGGGGGGGGGGGGGGGGGTGGGGGATTTT